TTTTAAACTTTTAACTCCTTGGGGCTTGGGTTCTTTTCCTTTTGTTTAAGGCCCACTTACCCAACCCCTCCTTGTTAAAACAAGCCAATAATATAATTTCGTAATTGGCCCAATGGCCCAAAACAAGTGTCACATAGCGGAATCCGTACTAAACCATAATTTGATAAATAACTACACGCGACTAACTCACCACTAATTCTGTAGCAATACACAATAGCCGAGATGCCACACTTAAATTAAATAAAGATAACTGATGAATCAAACAAAATAAAATGAAATAAATAAATAAATAAAATCTATTTTTGTTATAAAAATTTCTCGGAACTCGAGGCAAGCTAACCTGAGTAACACGGGGCGTTACAATTTATGACAATATTATTATTGGACATGAGTGCCTTCACACTTTAAAAGGCATAAGGAAACGGCGTGAAGGGTGGGCGGCTCTTAAATTGGATATGAGTAAGGCTTATGACAGAGTACGTTGAATGAAAGTTTCTAGGACAACTTATGTTGAAGATGGGTCTTGCTGAAAGATTAATTAGGTGAAGCCCATAATGCACTGTGTATCAACAGTTCACTTCTTTGTGTGTATTAATGGGGAGGTTCGAGGTAGTATTGTGCTTATCAGAGGCCTAAGACAAGGTGATCTTTTATCTCCGTATCTTTTTATACTTTGTGCTGACGGGCTTTCGAATGCGCTAACAGAGGCCAGCTACCATTGTCTTATTACAGGAGTTTCTATACTAGATCAATGCCCCAGAATTTCTCATATTTTCTTCGCAGACGATAGCCTTCTATTTTTTAGGGGGATCCGGTGAAATGCTTTCATGTGAAGAAAATACTTGCAGAGTATGAGCGTGCTTCTGGGTGATGCATTAACTTTGACAAGTCAATGGTATGTTTCTCCCCTAATATTATTTTGGATCGAAGGAAATATTTGCAATCTATTCTCCAGGTGAGGATCAAAATTTGGGAACGTATCTTGGCTCCCTTTGGCTCTGTCTAGAAGTAAATCTCGTGACTTTGGTTTTGTGAAGGATAGAGTTTGGAGGGCTATGAAAGGGTGGAAGAGAAGTCTATTCCTCTTGGGGGGAAAAAGGTCCTGATTAAAAGTATGTATACTATGAGTATTTTTCGACTTCCGAAATGCTTTTGCTCGGAAATTACTTCTCTATACGCCAAATTCTGGTGGGATTCCTTTGAGGCCAAAAGGAAGATGCATTGGATGCGTTGGGAGAAGCTCTGCTTTCTTAAGGAGCTTGATGGCCTTAATTTATGGGACATTGAGGGGTTCAATCAAGCCCTCCTAGCTAAGAAAGTTTGGCGTGTGATCTGTGGAGAGAATCTCCTTGTTTCCAGAATTCTAAAAGGGCGTTAATTTCCTAACTGTGATGTTTTCGAGGTGTTGAAGGACTTTAAGGGCCCGTACTTCTAGAAAAGCTTCATTTGAGGGAGAAAGTTGCTGGCTAAAGGTTTGAGGAAAAGGGTTGGGAATGCCAGGACGATCAATGTGCTAAGGATAGGTGGATTCCTCGTGAGTCAACTTTCCAACCTATGGTGAATCTAAAGCAGGTGAAGGATCTATTATGGAATGTCTATATAAGCCTTGGGGTGGTTGGGATGATGAGAGGTTGGCCCATTTTCTGTTGCCTGAAGCTGCCAACTGGGTGAGGAAGATCCCCTCAAGTGTTCATAATAATAAGGATGTATGGTTGCAGCACAATGATAAAAAAAATGCATTATAGTGTGAAGAGCTGCTACAAATTATTTATGAATCAAAAAATTCAAGCTTCATCTTCAGGGTCCTCTAACTCGTCTTCGGTCTAGAAAGCCTTGTGGAATCTAAAAATCCCATCGAAAATAAATCATTTTCTTTGGAGATCATTACATGGTATTATTCCTACCATACTCAATCTCAGAAGAAGAAGGGTAGAGGTGGTACCGTTTTGTCCGAGAAGTTCGTGAAAGTCGGAGACCGCTATTCATGCCCTGTTGTTCTGTTCGGGTGTGAAGAAGATTTGGAAGGTAATCAACTCATTCATCCTCCATGGTGGCGGTGAGAAATTAGACCTATTGGCCCATTGGGAGAAATGGTTAGATTCTTGTAAAAAGAAAGAGATTGAAACTATTGTGGTTACTTTGTGGGAAATCTGGAATGACAGGAACAATGTGTGCCACAATAAGCAAATTTCGTCGGCGTCTGTGAAAGGGAAGTGGACCATTAACTATGTGGGAGTGTTTAAGAAATCTTTGACAAATAGAAGGGGGGAGGGAGTTGGAGATTGTGAAGGGGTTTCGGAGAAGCCGATTGTTCCAGAGGGTTACCTGTGGTGGAAGGGGCGTGTGTCTATTGCGATGCTTATTGCATGATGGGTAGCCAGACAGCGGGAATTGGAGTTGCGATTCGTCTGGCAGATCAACCTTTCTCTGTTACGATGTCTAAGGTCGTGGCGGTTGAGCTTCCTCTGTTGCATGCAGAGCTCCAGGCGATCAGAGATGGGCTATGCTTGGCGAAACAGTTGGGTCTTGAGGTGGTGTCGGTTTTTTCGGACTGTGTGGAAGCTGTCTTTTTGCTGAACCGAGAAGAGGACCTTCGTTTGGAGGTGGGGATGCGGGTATAGGAAATAAAGGAACTCAAATTGAATTTTTTGTCTTTGTCGTTTTGCCATGTGTAGAGGACTTTCAATTTGGTGGTGGAACATCTGATAAAAGAGGCGGTGGTCGTTTAGATGAATTGTTTATGGAGAGATAAGTTCCCTATGTGGTTGGAATCCGTAATAGCTAAGTTACAGCCTTTACTTGTAGCCCTCGTGGCAGTTTGATTTTCATTAAATTTGTCTTTGTTAAAAAAAATGGATTTATATTAAAACTAAAGGTTATACGAGGGAGATGAAATTGAATATAATTCAAATATATAGTTTTAATTAAATATGTGATATTTAATTAAAATTTAAATAATTAATTGTTAATTATTTATTTTTTTAATTAATATTTGGATTTAAATTAATCAATTATTAATTTGATTAATAATTAATAATTTAATTAATAAATTATTAATTAGATTAATAATTATTAATTGTTAATTGATTTAATTAATTTGTTTATTACTAACTAAATAACAACAAGAAGATATTCTAATGGCCTTGGGATTTCCCCTTGATTCATGAAAAGATATCATATATTTATGAGGATAAGATATCGTCATAGGATTTTCTCTCTCTATAAATATAACGGTAGGCTACACCCTAAAGAGGTGCTAAAGGCTAAACAAATCTCACAATTTGTCTTAGTCTCTAAATTTCTTACAATTGGATCCCACAATCCGGATTCTCGATCGAGAGACATAGCGAGGAAGATCAAGTGGTGTTGTCTCATTGCGATTACACGAATTAGAGTCTTCAAATGTAAAATCTAACATTCTTCCCTGTTTTATATTTTTATGTGTTTTAAATTTTAAAAGAAATTCAAGAACGCATTCTACTGCTTCTGCTCCGAGATTCACATTCCCCTCACTTCTACTTAGAAGAGATCGTCCTTTGATTTGTATGGGTGAGAATGACCCGGGTCGCCGACTCAATATTCCCACCATTTTGGGGACGAGACCAAGTGGGGAGCTGGGAACATAACTACAACAGATAGAATTCACTCATTCCCGACATTAGGGTAAATAGATGAGTATTCTCTTAAGTGCCGACTTGAGAACTTGAATAAGGGGCCTCACCCTTTCGCTGACCCGAGAGAGACTTTTGTTTAATGGTCGGACCATAAACAGGTTGCTCATTAGAGGATCAGTGGTACTTAAGGTGAAAGAAGTAACTTAGAGGTAAAACGATAATTTAACCCAGTTGTAGTTACAGGAATCATCTAGCATGTGATTCACTTGAACAAACTCAGCCTAGTTCAAGTCAAATTCCAGCAGTTCGTAGAATCTCAACCCTTTCCTCCTATTTTAGTGGGGAGTTAACCAACTTGAAGCCCGACCTATATAAGGAGAGCCTCCCAAAGCATCCCACAGCAGTTCAAGCATCCTTTACAACCTCTTATCATTCATTTTGTTCCAGTTCCAGCACTAGGTAATAGTTTTATTTCATTGTAGATCTTTTCCTTTTGTTATTTTTTTTGTCTTTTCAAAAAACTTCAGCCTAGTTATACTTTCGTCTTGTTTTAATTCATGCTTTTTTTCATTTGTTCTTCATCTATTTCAATATGTTCTTTAGCGAGTTTAAACTCTCTTCAAGCTCGAAAGAGAAAAACGTTAACCTATAACTAATTATACTTTGTTATTCTTTTAATTAAATCAATGGAAATTATTCCTTTTATTTCTTCGTGCATTTTCCTTTCTTGAATTATGATCTAATTTAGTTTTTAACCTCTCTGTGCAATGTTTTAGCAAAAATTATTTTATTTCAACACGGTCGGGAAAAAGTCAAGATTGCACTTAGCAAAATTCTAAGTTGGTTTCTAATAACTTTTTTTCGAATAAATTTTTTGGTTAGAGATAACTCTCCCAAAGAGAGTGTTTTGTGGTATAAATTGGGCAATTTTGGTGTATAAACGTTGTTTGAGGGTAAACATACCCGGGACACGTGGAGGACCCTTATTAGTGTTTGAAGAAACCGAATAAAAAGGATTGCTTAGGTCCACCTCGGCCCCGCCGAGGAGACCAGGTTTGCCCGCTATAAAAGACTAAGTGTGGGCACCAAAGTTCGACCTGACTGGGGTCCGACCTGCTCGGAACCCGACAGGTCCGACATGAGAAAAGACATGTAACCGCCGGTCGTGTGTGCTGTCGGATCCGTCACCTATAAATAGAGGGCTTCATTTCACGCTCAGGTATCGAATCTCACCTCGAACTAAATAAGGAGTCCGATCTATACTGACTTGAGTGTCGGAGTGCTTACCCTCTTGTGCAGGTCCATTCTAGTGTTTAGGTCGGAACCGGAGACCGGGTTCGAGCTCGATTCGTGAAGAACCGTCGTGCAAATTCCTGCATAAACATTTGGCGCCGTCTGTGGGAAGGACATCTTAAGTCATCCCAATCTAAAAAAAAATATATACGCAAAGATGGTGCATCCAGCAAACTCTGCCAATACGACAGAACAGAGGGGTGTGAACGCTGATAACGGCCCTCAGCGAGACCTCGGTGCAAGAATAGTCGAGGACCAGGTCCGAGCAGGGCAAGAGGGAGATCTGCCGCGCAGATCTGCCCGCCATGCGAACCAAGAGCTACCACCTGCTCACCCGAAACCCTCAAAAGCCAACAGAGGCCGAGGAGGGACGTCGAGAAAGACCTCCCAAAGGGCCAACCAGGCAGCAGATCCTGAAGCTCTGTCTACTCTCCAGCGCGAGTTGGATGATATGCGCCATCGGTTGCGCACAATGGAAGAAATGTACACCGAGGCAACGCGTGCTAACCGAACTGCATCTCCCTCTATAGCCCCGGGCGCACCCGGTGAAAAGGGAGCTCCATCTATCCAACCTGGCGATCGCGAGCCCATTCCCAACGATGAAGGAGTGGATTACAGCTTGCGGGATAACGATCTGAGAAAGCATCTCATTGAAAAGAAGAAGAGAGCATCTCGGGAGCCGGAAGACTCTCCTTCCTACTCCCGAGAATTCTCCAACTCGAACCTAAAGGCTCAATCAAAATACAAGCCTCTAGCACCAGAAGCTGTGATCACCAGGGAAGAGTTCGACCTGATGAAACACAGGTTCGATGAGCAAGTCGAGGCACTCAAAGCCAGGTGCGAGAAGAAGGAGAGCTCGTTTGACGATGGCGACTTGGGAGAATCGCCATTCACCTCGGATATTATGGAGGCTCCAATCCCTCCGAAGTTCAAGACTCCCACCATGAAGCCCTATGATGGGTCTAAAGACCCCAAAGACTATGTTGAGGTCTTCGGGGCCTAGCGGCAACGGATGCAATAAAATGCCGCGCCTTCCAGATCGCGCTTACCGGCAGCGCGCGCCTGTGGTACCGGAGACTGCCGGCTAGGTCGATATCGACCTATTCTCAGCTGAGAAAGGAGTTCATTAGCCAATTCTCTTATCTGCATTACGACAGAAAAACAGCGACTCACCTTGCCACGATCAGACAGAAAGAATGTGAGACGTTGAGGGAATATGTCA